GACCCACAACGTGACATAAATTTCCATATGCCCCAAGCTGAAAAGTAGGCAGCATCGTGGACAGCAGCCAAGCTCTTCCAATGGAACACACCTAGGTGGAACACGAAAGACATACAGAATATCTCCTGAGCCTCGGTTAACAAAGTAACTCAAGTGATGAGATACTTATCTCTTTAATTTCACAATGGGTACTTGCATAGTGTAGCAAAGAACTTGACAGTATTCATAAGGATTCATGTTTTTCCACTTGGATGTTTGTGAAATAATTGAACAGGTCAGACTACCAATTACTACTGTGAGACTGAAAAATAAAAGGCAAACCTTTGGTGATCTGGGACTTTCATGAACACTGTGGCCATTTAAGTCAGAATAATCAAATTGCTCATATAGTTGTGTTGCACTCCTCCTACCAGTGTTGGAAAGTGAGTTTTCTTGATGCTCAATTGTCTGCACATTTTCTTAATTTCTAGAGAAATAAAATATTTGCCAAATTCATATTGTTTTAGTGAATGAGTAGACAATGATGCTTAGAGGAGGCACAGAATTCAATGATTTGATCAATACTAACGTTGCCTTCTTTCAAACCTCAGTGTTCCATACCTAGGAAGCAAAGCTTCTTATGCAGAGAAAAGAAGTTAAGGGCTGGGATAAAGAGCATAGAAAAATCTAAGAGATTCATAGGATTAAGGAACTGAAGAGGTTTTAAGACACAAGCTTGTCCGGAAACCCTCTAGGCTTTTCTTCTGCCTTTTCCTCTCTGCATCTGCGTAGGCGTCCGAACCTTTCCAGGAAAGCTCCCATGCACGTCGTCCCATTACTCATGTCATCTTTTTTTTCTCATCACTGAGAAAGGAAGGTGACTCCCCGTGATAAACATCACGGTGACACACTCAGGTGGTTTCAATCTTCTCCAAAGTGCCGTGGTTAATAAGGCAGACTCTGAAGTCCCACCAGCAACCTTCCAACCACCGGACTGTCACCTAGGAAGGTCACGTCCCCTGCCCGAGTCTCATGTTCCTCATCCATCCAGAGGGAATTCCACAGTCACACCATCACGACTGCTACAGGAGGAACAGCACAAAAATGCGTGGTGCAAGATCTAGAGCAGGACAGGCAATCACATTTTAAGATGATCAACACCAATACAAGGATTTCAGGGATGACCAATAAGGACATCAAGGTCAAAGGATAGAAACGGCACACATTTTTACATGGGATAATATGTTTCAAAACCTGTAATTACAACCTCAGGATAACAAATCTTCATATTTTGCCACATATTCCTCAAGACATTAAAAATAAAGTAGAAAATTTATAAAGTTGAAATTCTTTTTAAAAAGATTTATTTATGGGCCCGGCACGGTGGCCTAGCGGCTAAAGTCCTCACCTTGAATGTGCCGGGATCCCATATGGGCACCGGTTCTAATCCCGGCAGCTCCACTTCCCATCCAGCTCCCTGCTTGTAGCCTGGGAAAGCAGTCAAGGACGGCCCAAAGCCTTGGGACCCTGCACCCGTGTGGGATACCCGGAAGAAGTTCCTGGATCCTGGTTTCGGATCGGCATAGCATTGGCCATTGTGCTCACTTGGGGAGTGAATCATCGGACGGAAGATCTTCCTCTCTGTCTCTCCTCCTCTCTCTATATCTGACTTTCCAATAAATAAATAAATCTTTTGAAAAATTTATTTATTTTTATTGTAAAGGCAGATTTACAGAGAGAAGGAAAGACAGAGTGAAAGATATTCAATTCACTGGTTCACTCCTCAAGTGACTGCCAACAGCCAGAGCTGAGCCGATCCAAAGCCAGGAACCAGGAGATTCCTTCGAGTCTTTCATGCAGGTGTAAGGTCCCAAGGCTTTGGGCCATCTTGAGCACTTTACCAGGCTACAAGCAGGGAGCTGGATGGGAAGTGGAGCAGCCAGATCACAATCAGCATCCATATGGGATCCGAGTGCATGCAAGGCGAGGACTTTAGCCGCTAGGTTGCTGCACTGGTGCCACTGAAAGTCATTCTCTTTAATTTCACCTTTTCTCTCTCTCCCTGTCTTCCTCTTTCCCTCTGCTTTCCTCCACTCCCATCACTCTCAGTCTGTCTCTTTTTGTATCCCTAGCTCTCTTCTAGCATTAAAGTGGGTGGTATGTATTTTTTTTACCACAACTTATCAAATGGACTACTCGAAGGATTTTGATAGCATGTCATGTATATCCTTCTGCAATATTTTCTTTTTTTTATAAAAAGCTTTATTTAGAGATGACCCATGTAATATGCAATTCAACAAAGTAATGCTGTGATGTTTAGTATATTTACAGAGTTAGGCAAGCATCACTATAATACATTTTAAAGCATGGGCCTGGAATCACAGGGAGTGAGAAATTCAGAATAATCAATAATGATTATAAAATTTCTTCCTTTGGAGAATGAAAATGTAATACTGGTTTTGTAAAACTGAAATAAGCCAGACCCAAAAAAGAAAGAAAATGTCATGTTTTCTCTTCTTTGTGACAGTCAATACACCCAGTATAAAAACTGTACGGATGTAATGATGTTCAATGCTGTAAGTGTAAAGAGCGAGTGTCTTCGAATCACTTCATGTGGATAAAAATACACTCTTAGTTCACCTTGAAAAGAAACGGAGAGGGAAGGATGGTGATCCTTATTGGGGTACTAATAATACTTTGTTTATGAGCTTACAAAATGGGAAAGAACCTTAGGAATATGCCCAAACGGGCTGAAATCATTACACAGCCAAAAATCTTTATGAGAAGATGGCAACAAACTTATCAGCAAGGCGAAAAATTTAAACTTACAATTTCTGTAACTTTTCAATGAAAAATTTCTAACATATGCCCCCCAAAAGAGAATAAAGCAAACACCAATGTGTCAAGGTTATTGATGCAGTAATATTACTGCTATGATTATTTTTAATTTTAACATACAGATTTACACTTCCTCATTTCCAGAAGTGCAGGCACCTTGACCTATGGTCCCCAAAATGAGGGACACCTGCTCTTTCTGAACACACAAGTCGAAAAGAGAACTCCAGGCATAATTCTAGTAGAGATTGTCCTTGACTAGTATCCGTTCTGTTTTCATACAGTTCATTTAATTGTGTGCCGGAATCAACAGTCTAAACCAGGCTGCTATGGTAAATCTTGCCCTCCATCTCCAGCTGATAAGACGAGACATTTGGGTAGCACATGAGTTTCTGACTATCAAGCAGTGCTCCCCTTTTGGCAGCATATTTGTTCAGCAGTGTTTGTGCGTTTTCAATATTTTATTGCCTTCTGTCGTCATTGTTTTATGAAAACAAATGGAAGATGAAGATGCTGGTATGAGAAGTGTTATGCCCACAAACCTAACACAGTTGAGACAAAGATGGAAATTGCTGAGTGCCAAAATATGTAAATCAATAAGACACTTGCTATGCTAACACCAGTCAACTGTTCGCTCTGCTGTGAAGAGCATAGCAAACAAGAACGTATTTGAAATTCCAGAAACAAGTCACTGAAATTTGTGAAAGGTAAAATGTACACAATGAACTTTCATCTTTCTATTTCTAGGTCAACTACCCTTTACTCTTGCAACGTACAGGTTTATTTTTTTCAAGTCATTAAACACTTAACTTTGACAGACATTTTTAAGAATGAATACTACAAAAGGGGGATATTTCTATATACTTTTTATGAGCTCCAAATAATCTACTTCACAATCATGTTTTATTTTTTCTGATTGCCTGAATGAGACAAGCGTTTCTCTTGACATATAAAGTCACACCCTCACATGTGTGCACGTGCTAGAATAGCATTTGGCTAATCTAGGCTAGCCTTAAGTCAGTCACTCCTCTATTTTGAGGATATTATGTTAAGTCCAGACACAGAATGACAAAAATCACCTGATCTAAATTACATGAATATAAAGAAGTTTATCTTGGCTTAGACATAAATTAGTAGTTACACAGGAGGAATCAGCTCTGGTTGTCGCTCGCACCATAGAGTAACTATGGTTAGCAGTAGTACACTAAGTATTTCAAAATATGCAGAACAGAGTTCTTTCAGTGTGCTTACCAGAAAGAAATGATAAATGCTTGAGATGACGAACAAATATTCTGATCTGAACCATACAAAATGTGTCCATGTATTCCGGCTTCTGACTTCGGATTGGCTCAGCTCTGGTCAGGCCATTGCGGCCACTTGGAGGATAAGCCAGCAGACAGAGGATCTTTCTGCCTCTCCTTCTATCTGTAAATATGCCTTTTCATTAAAATAAACTTTAAAAAACTCATATTGAACTTCACAAGGAGGTACAATTATTAGGAGTCAAAAACAACACTTAGAAAGGGTTACGGGGCAGGTATTAAGTGTCTGCTTGAGGTGCAGCTTGGAACGCTTGCCTCTTATATGAAAGTGCCTGGGATTGGGTTCCAGCTCCATTTCTAGACCCTGCTTCCTGTAATGTGCACTCTGCAGAGCAGGTGGATAAGGGAGGGCTCAAGTGCAAAGGCTTCTGCTTCCCACCGGGGAACACTGGACTGAGTGCCAGGTGCCTATTCATGCCAAGCTCTGTCTTGTTTTGAACATTTGGAACATGAATGAGCTCTCCTGCCAACTTCACCGCATCTTTCAAACACATAAAAATAAACAAAAACTGTGTAAGACGTATTTTGGGCTGGCATGTCATGAATCTCAACAATGCAGACACAACCCACAAAAATCTTTGTCTTGTATGAATAAAAAATGATTCATTGACTTTCAGATTTTTTTTTACTCAACACTTACATATTCCTTTTACTCCAGGAAATTGTATCTCTGTATGCATGTGTATTTTTGGTTAGAAAATAGAAGGACATTTCCTATCATTCCTATCTTCAATGTTTCATATTTTCTTTCAATTTGTTTAGCACTTAGCCTCATGCATGATGCATGACATATACTAAATCCTATATATATGTACACACACGTACATACATACATATACACACATGTATATGGTGTTCACATATATAAACCTGAGTTTCACCTGGTAGAATAATCCTTGCACAGGGGCCATGCAAATTTTCTTTGAATTGTTCCAATTTTAGTATATATGTTATCGAAGCAAGCAGTCACCTGGTAGCATCAAATCTACAAGATGGTCATCAATCCAGTCATCAATATTTATGAAGCTTTTATTATGTGCTATTCCCTTGATCTGAAGGCTTTCGGGGCAGCAATAAGGATTTGGCCTAGGGATTGAGCTACTATTTGGGAATTCCCATATTCCTAACAAACTGTTTGAGTTTGAATTTCAGCTCTGCTTCTAATTCCAGGTTCCTCCAGGTGTTCATCTTGGGAGAGAGCAGGGCATAGTAAAAGCAAGTGGGCACCTGCCACTCATGAGGAGACCTGGACTAAATTCTCCATTCTTAGCTTTGGTCTGGACCAGCCCCTGCTCTTGCAGGTGTTTGGAGAATGAACTAGTAAGTGAGAGCTCTCTGTCCAAATGTCTGTCTTCCTCTATTTTCTTTTCTATCAAATGAATGCATTTTGTGTAATTTGCTGTCTTCATGATGAAGTACACAGAGAACACCTGGAGTTGAACTTGGAGGCGATATTGAGAACTTCCTCTTGAAACCAACTCCCCACCTTAATCTCAAGGTAACACTGATGAACTGGAAACCTGTGCTTTGCTAAAGTGAATCTTAGCAAAAGCAAATTTCCAATCTATTCCTCATCCTACCTATACTGATTTAACTCTCAAATGATAGATCCGATAGGAGAAACTGTGTGACAATTTCCAGCAATACACACCATATTATCTCAATCTCTACTGAACTATATAACAAAAACATAAATTACAAAGCATACAAAGAATGCTGAAAAAAATAAGGACGCTGTCAAAATACAAAGTAATCAACAAAATTAGACTCAGATGTGGCACAGATGTTGAAATTCTCAGATAAGGAGTTTAAGATAATTATGATGAATACATTAAGGGCCTGAGTAGAAAAAAAGTGGACAACATATATAATCAAAAGATTTACTTCAGCAGAGATTTGGAAAGAAAGAAAAAGTGGAAATGAGCTATGGTAAACAACCTCTGGTGATCTCATCAGTATGCATGGCACATTAGCCAATGTGAGTTATTTCAGTACTTCTATAAACTGAAATACAAATACACCAGAGTGAAATAAACAAAGCATACTGCACAGATCAAGAGCCATGAGTCAACATAAGAGAAATATTTGAGTAAAAGGTGAAATAAATATATTTTTAGGCAAAAATTTTGTTAAAAACAACCTTGCAGATTTGTTAAAAAGCATGCGTTAATTACAAAGAAAAATGACCCTGTGAATGTCAGAAATGGTATACACACTGACAAGAAAAGAGCAAAATGTGCAGACCGAAAATAAGGCCATAAAATTATACCACAATTTCCTAATTTACATGAATACAGAAGGCAGAATTAAAATCACAGCCAAAAACAACATATGAGTTAGGACGGGTTTGTGCTAGTCTTAAATTTATTGCTTTTCTGATCCAAATCCACTTATAGTTCAGAAATAATGGGCATGATGCTTGTAAATACTTCTTTGCTAGCTAGTACCAAGCTAAGCCTCGTCAACAGAAGGCCCAGGAGGGACATCAAAGCAAGATGAGATTTCTCTTCCTTGTTCTGCTTTGTCTCACTTGTCTTGCTAGTATAGAATGGAACTTTCTCCTGTACTCTTCGCCAGTAGAACACAATTTTCCCAGCACTTTCCTCATATAAAAGGCATCTTCTCTGGATTCTGGCTCCCGCGGCAACAGTTGGCTGGCATTGTCAACACGCACTGTTTCCTTCAGTGCCTTCCTGACTTCATTGCGGTATGAAGGTGGCCAGGTCTTACATGGTTTTGTTCAGAGCCTTCCATAATTTATTCACCATAGTGTCCATCAGTAAAATACAGTCAAATGTCTTCTCTTTTAGGTGTAAATAAACTACTGACTGCCCATGTGTGGTTAGTTGAGCCCTACTATTAATCAAGCCCTGTTGAAGTTGCTAATTACCTGAGCCACTGGCCTGCAGGAGAACAAACAGAAGGCTGTGCCTTGTGTCCGCTAACATCCACATCCACATTCAATGTCAGAAAAATAAGGAACAGAAAATAGCTTCATTCGAGTAAAATAAAACTTTATAAAATACAGTTAGGAATTTTATGTCTAAGATCTAAGTTTGATAGCTACATGACTGTATTCCATTACTACAACATATTTTAAGAAACAACAACAACAAACTCTCCTATAACTATAATATCCAGGAACCTGCAAGGCAGCTGATGTAACACTTGCTGTTCACCGAAGCCCATGCAGAATTCATGGTATTTACACATTACTTGGTGTCTTTGGCAGGGAATGCTTACCTAGGAAGCTCATCTCTAACACAACAGACAAGAGGCTGTCACCATTCCTGCAATAAATAATGCACTGTGACTGTGCTGAATGCATCCCTTCAATTGAAAGCCTCCAAAACGAAAGGGAGAAAACTGATTTGAAATGGTTTGGAAGCCTAATTCTGTTAGAGGGAATAAAAATTGATAAACAACATTGGGTGACCTGCTGGAACAAATAGATTCTTGATTCAGCAGGAATCCAGCTGCTATTACGTTCCAGGTGAACAAGCATTACTTAAATAAATAAATCCCTCCTTTTTTTCTGCTCATGCTTTCCAGGTTTGCTGCATCTATTATGTCAGAAGCAAACCCAGGCTAGAAAGACACAGAATGTCCCTCTGGGAGATGCCATGGAACTGGGAGGATAGAAAGAAAGGTCATTGGACTGCAGCAAGGGGAAGGCTTGTGTGTACCAGCTTTCTCATAACTGAGCCTGCTATTAACTAAGCAGTATTTTGAACGTATAAAGCATTTTAGAGCCCTGGGCTTCCACGTATTATGCAAACATTAATTAATCCTTGCTACATCACTCACGGTGTAAGCGCTGCTGGCCAAGTCTCAGAGAATACAATCTCTACCTGGAGAAGCCAACCCAGGAGCCAAAGAACAGACAAGTCAGTCACTTGGAACCCTGAAGACATGCCTGCAAGGATTGTGGATTCCAGCCCCAAGACGGAGAGTGCGATCATGTGGCTCTGAACAGGGAAGTAGAAGAAGTGAGACTTGTGAAAAGAAAAGGAGGGGATCAACCGTGAAGAAGTAGGTAGCAATTTGTGTGCACTGACAAGGCAACTGGTGTACTATGAGATCCCCCCAAGTATGAAGAAGCACAACCTCATCAATGAATGCAATAAAATGCATTCCATCCCAAGGTAAAATAAAAATAACAGAAATCCAAATCAGTCTGTCTTGTGCTGAAATAACTGCTTTAGTATTTCTAACATAAATGAAATTAATTTCTCATCGCTGTTATGAAAATTCAACTACCTGCTTTTTCACTTTGAATTATCCTCCTGAAAGAATAAAAACGAGTAAGAAGTTTCACCCCAAATGAGTGGGAGCTGTCACTTATTGAAAAGGCAGATTTCAGACATATTTGACAAATGACAGCAGTGACATTTTCAGATTCACAAAAGCTGGAGCAATGTGCACACTTGCCTTCTGAGGTGAAATCTCTCCAAGTTGCTAAAAGACTATAAATAAAGTGGTCTTCAAAGACCAATCTCAAAACCATTTTCCATGAGAAACTTAAAACAAAAATATCGCATTTACGTTTGCATGATACATTTTACTGCCTACCACTTTAATCTCTGCAAGAGTCAAGCTTAAAATAATATCAAAGACAAATCTATTATCAAGGCCCCTACTTTCTGTTTTCACAACTTGCTAACAACCTAACATAAATGTCAGCACATAAGTTATTCCTGGGACAACATATCATTTCATTCCCTCCGACAGGTTTACCATTCTTTGAAACTGTAAATTCATTTATTAGATAGAACAGACATGTTATGCTCTGATATATTCTTTACTTGTTTACAAGGACAGGCACTATCTTTTATATATACTATATTGAGAAGCGCTCCTGTTTTTATTAATGGGGCAACCATTGACAAAAGCCAAAATAATTAAGCACACAGTCTTACATTTCTGATTGAAACAAGTACAGAATGTGAATTCTGCATAGAATAAGAAAAAAAAAAGGCTTACAAGTATGGATTTTACTGCAACACAACTGGACAATTTCCACTCTAAGCCTGGCTTCCTTGTTGAACATGGCTCTCATCTGGATTTCTTGATCTTTTCTAATGACTCATTTACCAGTCGAAATAATTCTAGATTATATTATTCTACATTGCAAGAACAGGAGCATGTACAGCGGGTATCACAGCATGCATGGAAAATCTAAAGAGAAGATGTCATTAAGAACCAAGAGAAGGGGCTTAGTCAGCAGTTATGATGCATTTGAAAAAGGCCACATCAAGTTTAAAAAGTTGCAAAGTTTTCAAAATGCATTTTAAAAGATGCAACAGTTCCTTCAAAGCTGTATAATTTAAAAGCCTACTGGGATAAAGTCACACAAGAACACTTTGGTCACGACACTGGAAATATTTGCAATCATGTTCCAACAAGCATATACAGTACGACCTACAAATATATAAATATTAGAGGAAAATCAGTGAAATGTAAAGAAAAAGAAAACTGAGACAGGAAAACAAGATGGAAAGTGTGCCCAGGCTTTAGAGCAGGATCTGTCTCAGCCAGCAATTTCTTAACGGAAAAGAAGACAACACATTCCTACTGGTCTTCAATCTCTGTTTATTCAAACCAACCAGTTACTCAGGAACATTAGAGCTCTTATCTACAGAACAAATAATGCTTTTTCCTAATCTAATAAAAGTGTTCATTTTAATGAAAGCCATCCTTAACAATACTAGGTTTGAAGATATGATGTCAAATTTAATTAGGCTCCCTTTCCCTAAAGTCAGATCCATGTTGTAATATCAAAACTCAAAACAGTAAAAATGACTCCAAGCAAAGGACTTTAGAATTTGAAAAGGGCAGCATACACTAACAGGTACATGGCTTCTTAATCATGTGATGTAATTCAAGTCTACTTGTAACAGGATGTAAGATCAGACTGACTTTCTGTGCCTTCCCTCCACAATCCAGAAAGTATTGTTCTGCTAAGT